TTTTTTTTGTTCGTTCTTCTTCTTCACAAATAAATTTGGGGGTATACACAGATTGGAGCACAAAGGTAATACTAGAAACCTTACATTGGTAATTGGGTAAAAATATTATATACATACTTAATTTGCCCATATCATATCAAATATGGTTGTTTATTAGACCGATATATGTTACGTGTCATTGTGTGTGTGTGTGTGTGAACTCCATCCATCTGCCAACAAAAGAACTACTTATCTTGGCATAACTCATTTGTTCAAGTATTTCCAAGATTTTTGTGTATTCAAAATAAATAAATATATAAAAATAAAAAGCTTGACATTTTAGTTAGTTATACATATATATAATTGCTGGAAAAGCAATAAATAAAACCTAATTAGTAAAACTTCTATACTTTTTCCGTTCATTTTCTTCAATTAATGTAGAACCGTTGCATTCTACATTAATGAAGTGTAAATAATTTTTAACTCATTTATCATATAATGATCACTACTAATACTAAATTTACATTAAATAGTATTTGAAAATTAAATACTTGTAAAATAATTGTATTGCAATTTTTTTCTTTAAGATACTTAAATATTATTTTTTTCTTTAAGATACTTAAAATCACGTAAACAATGTCTACAAGTGATAAAAATAATTGTCATGTTTTTTTGACAAATTAATTGTACGGTTCCTCTAAATTACAAAATTACATTGTCCACTAAAATTTATGTCACAATATAAAATTCGAATGTAAGTTAAATAAATTGTATTTATGTTGTACTTATTTGTCAGTGTGCATGTGCACATGAATGGATACTAGTTACTTATAATTATAACAACACATGACAATTAATCTACTATGTTGTGTGAAGTTGTAATGGCGACTCTACTTCAATGTCACCATTTTTTCGTGTGCAAGCACAACATGAACATGGTAAGAGACTGCTGAAATAAGCCGCAGAACCAGCAATAATGGGCTGGACCACCGACCGGCCCGCACAACTAAATGAATGTGGCCCACTATACGTACGGTGTTTGGGAGATGTCGAGATGAAGAACATATCTATGTTGGGTTTGGAATTTTTTGTTAAATTACTAGAGAATATCACATAGTTAACGAATCAAATTATAGAAAAATATATAAAAAATTTAATTTTAGAGCTTTAACGAGCTAAGGACTCGTTAATAAACAAGATTTCAACGAGTTATAACTCAACTCGTTTATTAAATAAATTGAGCCAAACACGAGTCTTAAGTCAAGCTCACGAGCAACTCATATCGTTTAATAACTCAACATGAAATTAAATATTTTAAGATAAACTTAATTAAAAAAATGTGATTAATGTAATATGGAGATGTAATAATTAAAATTAATTTGATACAACATAATAGAATAATGATGGAAACTAAAATTGTATGACCGAATATATAGCAGATTTTATAAAAAGGAATGGTAACCATTAATTTTTAATTCAAAAGTTATATTAAAAAAATGTGAATAGACAAAATAGAGAAATAAAGTGAATGATTAGTGCGTTTTTAATTGGTTGGTTAGTTAATTAGTTTTATTTGTATTCAAATAAAAGTAATAATTAGTGTGTTTTTAATTATGTTTAGATGATGAAATTGAATTAGATATATCGGTTTTGCTATGAAGTCAACAGTTGGCTCTATACTAGAGCTAAAATTTTATATACAACAAATAAACCTACCATATTAATAAAATTATATTGATGTTATTTAATTAATCAGATAATATGGTAGGTTTACTTATTGTATATAGAAGGTTGGCTCCACTATGGATTCAACTGTTGGCTTCAGAGCAAAACCGTAGATATATCGGTTTTGGCATGAAGTCAACTGTTGGCTCCATAGTGGAGCTAACCTTCTATATACAATAAATAAACATACCGTATTAATAAAATTATATTAATGTTATTTAAGTAATCAGAGAATATAGTAAATTTACTTATTGTATAGCTCCACTATGAAGTCAACTGTTGATTTCATAGCAACACTTTTAGATATATATCCAACTGCACCGTCATGTGTATTAGCTTATTAAACATTAATTGTTATTGAATTAACCACCATACATTGTGTCAGCTAAAATTATTATGCATGTGCCTTTGCTTCCAATTCGATGCAGTTGGAATTCAAACGGGATCAATTTCATAGTTCAATAATTTGAGAGGGTACCAATTCAATATTCAAGGAAAATGTCAGGACCATTTTGATAATTTATCTAATTTTAATTGACGAGAAGGACTACATTGTCATTTCGACTGCCACTATTTATTTTTTTGATGGGAAATTTGAAATTGACGTGGGCACAGCACAGCACACATGAGTGAACGAATGTTATCACGACACGTATCCTCCGTTGACACGGATGACCTGCCCATTGACCCACTCCCCGGCGTCACTCGCCAGAAACCCCACCAGCGGCGCGATGTCCTCCGCGCGCCCCATCCTACCCAGCGGACAGTCGGCCACGGCCTTCTCCTCCGCCTCCGCCCTCCCCTCACCCTCGTAGAACATGTCCGTCGCCACCGGCCCCGGCGCCACGCAATTGGCCGTTATCCCCGTCCCCTTCAGCTCCTTGGCCAGCACCTTTACCATCGTCTCCACCGCCGCCTTCGACCCGGCGTACGCGGCCAGCAGCGGCTTCAGCGACGCCACCACCGACGTTGTCAGGCACACTATCCTCCCCCCGCCTCCCCGCCGGATCCGGTTCGCTGCCTCCCGACAGAGGAGGAACGCGCCGCGCGTGTTGACGGCGAAGGCCCGATCGAAGTCCTCGTCGGATGTGGCGGCGAGCGTGGGGTACTTGGAGATGGTGACGGCTGCCGAGTTTACCAGGATGTGGATCGGGGAGCCGAAAGCGGACTCGGCGGCGTCGAAGAGGGACCTAACCTGAGCGGGGTCGGAGATGTCGGCCTGGAAGGTGACGGCGCGTGGGTGGTCGGCGGGGGAGGAGGCGTTGATTTGGGCGGCGGCGGCGTCGGCTAGGGCGGAGCTTGAGGTGGAGGCGTAGTTGATAAGGACTTTAGCGCCGAGGGAGGCCAGATGGATGGCGATGGCGCGGCCAATGCCGCGGGAGGCGCCAGTGACTATGGCGACGCGATCTTGGAGTGGCTTCGTGTTGACGTTTGATTCTGCTGCCATTGATTTGATTGGGATTTGTTTGGATTAAAATATGAGATGAGATTTCAACTCATTAGCAGCTCATCCAGTAGATATAATAATAGAGGAAAAGGTTAAAGTCCCGTTACAGACCATTCTGTTGATATTTTTAACCGTTAAATCCACATATACATGAGTGTAACATATTTATCTAACTATTATAAATCATAACGGAATGGTTCTGTAACATTACCCAACTAGTACAATACCCGTGTATTACACGGCTTGCTAATTTTTTTTTTAAAATCTAAAATTAATGAGAAAAAGTAGTTGAAAATTTAAATACCTTTTTATAAATATATATATATTATTATATATTTAGTATGACACTTTTTATTTGTGAGACTTACCTTTGTTATATTATAATAATTTTTTAACTTACAACATATAACTAAATTAAAAATCCTCCCTATATATAATTCTCAAATGCGCTGAGCCTACGTGGCTGTTTCTGGTGTTTCTGCTGAATTTTAATAAATATTATTATCTTTTATTATTATAAAGATAAATATAATTTATGTATTTCATATATACAATATGAATGTCAAATCGAAGATCATCAAAAGATGATTAATTTAATATATAATATATGTAAAACCGATAAGAAACACAAAAGTTATAAACTTTTAAAATATATTTACAATTCAATAGTTAATTGAAGGAAACAAATCAAAGTCAAAGATATATTAGTCACTTATTGTCTCACTATGTAAAATTACAAATAATTAAAGGGTTATATTAGTACAAGTGATATTAAAATACTTAAGTTAGATAAATAATATTTATAGAATGTCTAAATCTAGATTATTAATTATTAATATATCAATATTATTTGTCTAAAGCTAATTACGAAGCATGATTTTTCGCCAAGTAAGATTTCGAAGCACAAAAAACAGCTACGTAAGCTCAGCGTATTCGGGAATTATATAGATGATAATAGAAGAGTAATCAGTTATCAGTAACGTTATGATGATGTCACCGCTTAAATCATGCTACTGTTACAATAGTCAAATTCCATGTGAACCTACCTAATATATGGCATACAATAATGAAGCAATCTTTGATTTATCACACTTTATTTGACTAGAGAAAATGCTCTAAAAATATTATAGTAGGTTTTATGTTCATTTGGAATGTCATATTCTTTGTTTTAAAAGATTTTTTTTTTTTACTTCAATAAAATTATTTTTGGAAATTGTATTATTCTTTTTTAACTTTGAGTGAATTTTTGTTTAATTTTTTTTTTTTAAAAAAAAATTATAGGACTACATTTTTTTTGGTACAAAGAAGGAAGTCACGAGCTCTAAGCTAGGACTCGAAGACGGTACGAAACCCCGATATTATCATGATCCAGCCAGGTACCCAATCCCACAGGCAAGGATAACAAACGAAGGAGGCCAATCGGGGATGACTCCACCAAGCTCGCCATATAATCAACTGTAAAGTTTGTTTCCTGATAAATATGTTGAAAATTAACACTCCAATTCCGTCGAAGCAGCTCTCGAATGGCTTGAACCAGTGCCTCATGGGGCCCGGTCTCGTCCGCAGGCTCACTAATCATAGTTTTCAAGCAAAGACTATCAACTTAGCCACCACGTGTCGGTATCCCAGATCCTATGCCAACATAAGCCCTTGGAACAATCCCCATAGCTCAGCCCCTGTAATAGTGCAAGCCAATTTTGAAGAGAAACCCCCCAATCCAACGTCCCGTCTCGTCGCGTATTAACCCTCCCGCACAGCTCAAGCCCGTTGACGGATTATGGGCTCCATCACTATTTACTTTAATCCACCCCGAACACGGAGGAGTCCAACGTACCACCTTTGTGACGTGAACAACTGCACCCACCTTCGCATAGGCCTCGATCGCATGTTGATAGCTCGCCACTAACCGCACTATTTCCAGCCGCCTTACCTCTCCACAGCCATGCTCTTTTGCTTGAAGACTCGCTCATTACGCCAAAACCACGCCCGCCATGCAGAAATTGCAAAAGTGCTGCACCATGATTCGCAAGATCCCGCCCGTGTCAACGATAAGTTTAGGCGCAGCCATGGTTTGAGTGGTTGTCGGAAAAAATCCCGATCATGGCCAGGCGGTAGTAGACGTTCCCATATCTTTGAATTCTGTCTAATAGTGGAATTCTGTCTGAATGTGGTATACATACCATATCTTTGAAATTTAAATCGATTTTAAAAATTTAAGATAAATCTGATGATAAAAATTTTCAGACCCTCAAATGAATGCATGCGGAAGTAACTAAAAGAAACCAACTGAAAAATTATGTTTTAGGATGAGATTGATTTTTACAAATATGTAGTTCAGTATAGTAGTAGCCATTAATGGGACAAAAGAGCCTCAAATAAACAACAACCTCGTCACCAGCTTAGCCAAATTTATACAACACACCTTGACAATTTCCACAGTACAGATATGCTAAAAACATAAAACAGAATACAGTTTTTGAAGTCGTCGATTTAAAAAAAAAAAAAAAACTGCTTTTCTTCTAACCTTTGATATAATGTGATAAAATGTGAAGACATTTGAACATGTTCTGCTCTACTGCAGATGGCATTTACAGGGACAAAAGAAACTTTTCACTTAATTCGCCAATCTATAAGATTGCACAATACAGCATTAATTTGTTCGTGCATACACCAAACTTCAAAAATAAAAAAAACGATAAATGCTACCGATGCAAAGGCGAACTCCAGTCGAGACCCTCCTCCGGATAGTAACTCTTGAGCATCTCCTTGGGAGGAATAAACGAGTCCACCGATAGCCCTGGGACATTAAATGCCAGATCATCAATCACGTACGTTTCCTCCATCCTCGTCACCTCCGAGCCCGCCCTCAGGCAGTCCCCAAACCTGGTAATAATGACGCTCGAGTGGCCCGAGTGGGCAATCATCATACCCTCCACAGCCCGATAGTCCTCGATCCTCGTGCAAGTCGTGGTCTCCCAGTACATGGGTCGGGACCCGGGAGTTTGGATCCTCGTCAGATACGAGTCTTCCAGGTGGACGAGCAAACCGCTCCTCTGGCTGAAGTAACCGACCGTCACGTGCTTGATCATCTCTGCTGAGCTGTCGCTTCGCTCGGCCAGGTCAGCAGGCTCCGCGGATAGCTTGAGCACGAAGCAATCGACACCCGACATATGCTTCTCCCCCATGTACTGTGCCGTGGAGAACACACATGATATGGCCATCGGGTCGAGTCCCTGAATTGATAATATTTTTTGCTCATGTGGTTTTTGTGAAAAAAGTAAAAACAAAAATGGGTGATTTTATTTTTAGGAAGATTTGCAATAGATTTTGGTTTTATGAGCATTCAAGGCAATGTTGTTGTTGGTGTGGGAGTTTTCAACAGTAATGGTATCTTATAATTACAGTAGAGGTAGCTATTGATTTGGCAGACATACTTTTTTAAATGAATTTGTATTTGCCAAAAGAGAGAATTTGCAGTTAATCATTGTGGTTGGTGACAAGTATACCAGCAAATTAGCTGCAGAGTAAATGTAGTGTAAATAGTTCTCATCCAACAAGTAGTGATCAAGGACTACTAGTCTACTACTACTCTTAATTGCTTATATTGACAAACTATAGAGCATAAGATCATCTTAAATTGGCTAGACCCCATTTGAAGCAATAATTTTCTTTTTTTTTTTTTTTTTCGAAACGATAGAAATTTGAAGCAATAATTAAAGTGATCATTATAATGTGGGAACTTTAAAATTTTCAACTTTCACCAGAAAAGAAATCATTTTGCTCTACAAGTCAATATGGAGATGATGGAAGTATGTGCCATTAATTGAAAACAAGGTCAAAATGTACAGACAACCCAACCCCCTTCTCAGTTCTCAGCCTACATAATACTCTATTTGATAACAAGAATTTCTCTCTCTGTGTTAGTATCAAACAACTGTATTATATTTGCCATATTGATATGCAAAAGGATTTCTGGGTTTCCACAGCACAATTACCAAAACTAATTAGGCAGGCTAACAGAATGATTTGAGATTCAAGAAACAGATTACAATCACCATAAAATAAAGGGCACATATTTTTTTTTTTTATAAAAAAAAATAATAATAATAATCCAATATTTGGGACATAAAAAAGAGTCGAGTACTTGCCTGAAGAGCACGTCTAAGGGGCCGAACACCGCCTTTAGCGGCGTGAGCACCGAGCCACGGAGTGTGCCGCCAGGCCACATTGCCGTCACAGGCAGCCACAACCTTGTGGCCACCGACAAAAAGCTCGATCAGCCATTTATCGGGCATCATTTGCCAAATAACAAAGCAACCCTTCTGAGTCGACTCACTCGCGCTGCTAGCTCCGGTGGTGGCTGAGGCTGAGCCGGGCTCGACCACCATGGCCATCGCAACATTCCCGGTCGCGTACATGTTCTTG